TGTGCTCAACTGTTGCGTGGTCCTCGCAGTCATGTGGGCGCATTGCGGTGACGCATGTCACGCCCTCGGGAAAACGATGCCAGATGAAACATTGGCACGTTCCCGACAAAAAGGCAAAGAAAAAAAGGAAATGAAATACTGTAGAAAGACTGCGCTTGCCGTAGGAACAGATGGCAATGGCAAGACCTCTGCAGCGAAGCATTGCCCGAACAAGAGAGGGCTATGTGCAGGCAAAGGGCAGGTTGCAATGCTGGAACGCTGACGGCCAGGGGCTTGGGGGAAGGTGCCGCGAGGAAGCCATGCAGCAGTTGGAGGATTGTAAGGGTGGTGGCAGGTGGCGCGAGGGATTTGGAGGGTTGTAAGAGTTTGAAACGTTTGAAGCCTGGTAACGGCAAGCTTGAATGCCTCAATAACAGAGGGCTATGACAAAGCAGGTTCCACACCTCCGGTGGAGGGTTTTAGGGGTTTTAGGGGTTTTAAGCGTTTGAAGGCTGGCAAACGGCAGGCTCGAATGCCCTAACAAGAGAGGGCTATGTGCAGGCAAAGGGCAGGCTGCAATGCTGGAACGCTGACGGCCAGGAGCTTGGTGGAAGCTGCCGCGAGGGATGGTTTGACGCGTTTTAAGAATTTTTAAAGCTTGGCAAACGATGTGCAGGCAAAGGGCAGGCTGCAACCCTGGAGCAGCAAAGGCTGACGGCCAGAGGGCTTGGTGGCAGCTGCCGCGAGGAAGCCATGCAGCAGTTGGAGGATTGTAAGGGTGGTGGCAGGTGGCGCGAGGGATTTGGAGGGTTGTAAGAGTTTGAAACGTTTGAAGCCTGGTAACGGCAAGCTTGAATGCCTCAATAACAGAGGGCTATGACAAAGCAGGTTCCACACCTCCTTTGAAGGCTGGCAAACGGCAGGCTCGAATGCCCTAACAAGAGAGGGCTATGTGCAGGAAAAGGGCAGGCTGCAATGCTGGAACGCTGACGGTGCAGGCAAAGGGCAGGCTGCAAACCTGGAGCAGCAAAGGCTGACGGCCAGAGGGCTTGGTGGCAGCTGCCGCGAGGAAGCCATGCAGCAGTTGGAGGAGTGTAAGGGTGGTGGCAGGTGGCGCGAGGGATTTGGAGGGTTGTAAGAGTTTGAAACGTTTGAAGCCTGGTAACCGCAAGCTTGAATGCCTCAATAACAGAGGGCTATGACAAAGCAGGTTCCACACCTCCGGTGGAGGGTTTTAGGGGTTTTAGGGGTTTTAAGCGTTTGAAGGCTGGCAAGCGGCAGGCTTGAATGCCCTAACAAGAGAGGGCTATGTGCAGGAAAAGGGCAGGCTGCAATGCTGGAACGCTGACGGTGCAGGCAAAGGGCAGGCTGCAACCCTGGAGCAGCAAAGGCTGACGGCCAGAGGGCTTGGTGGCAGCTGCCGCGAGGAAGCCATGCAGCAGTTGGAGGAGTGTAAGGGTGGTGGCAGGTGGCGCGAGGGATTTGGAGGGTTGTAAGAGTTTGAAACGTTTGAAGCCTGGTAACGGCAAGCTTGAATGCCTCAATAACAGAGGGCTATGACAAAGCAGGTTCCACACCTCCGGTGGAGGGTTTTAGGGGTTTTAGGGGTTTTAAGCGTTTGAAGGCTGGCAAACGGCAGGCTCGAATGCCCTAACAAGAGAGGGCTATGTGCAGGCAAAGGGCAGGCTGCAATGCTGGAACGCTGACGGTGCAGGCAAAGGGCAGGCTGCAACCCTGGAGCAGCAAAGGCTGACGGCCAGAGGGCTTGGTGGCAGCTGCCGCGAGGAAGCCATGCAGCAGTTGGAGGATTGTAAGGGTGGTGGCAGGTGGCGCGGTTCCACACCTCCGGTGGAGGGTTTTAGGGGTTTTAGGGGTTTTAAGCGTTTGAAGGCTGGCAAACGGCAGGCTCGAATGCCCTAACAAGAGAGGGCTATGTGCAGGCAAAGGGCAGGCTGCAATGCTGGAACGCTGACGGTGCAGGCAAAGGGCAGGCTGCAACCCTGGAGCAGCAAAGGCTGACGGCCAGAGGGCTTGGTGGCAGCTGCCGCGAGGAAGCCATGCAGCAGTTGGAGGAGTGTAAGGGAGGTGGCAGGTGGCGCGAGGGATTTGGAGGGTTGTAAGAGTTTGAAACGTTTGAAACGTTTGAAACAAAGCAGGTTCCACACCTCCGGTGGAGGGTTTTAGGGGTTTTAAGTGTTTGAAGGCTGGCAAACGGCAGGCTCGAATGCCCTAACAAGAGAGGGCTATGTGCAGGCAAAGGGCAGGCTGCAATGCTGGAACGCTGACGGTGCAGGCAAAGGGCAGGCTGCAACCCTGGAGCAGCAAAGGCTGACGGCCAGAGGGCTTGGTGGCAGCTGCCGCGAGGAAGCCATGCAGCAGTTGGAGGATTGTAAGGGTGGTGGCAGGTGGCGCGGTGCCACACCTCCGGTGGAGGGTTTTAGGGGTTTTAGGGGTTTTAAGCGTTTGAAGGCTGGCAAACGGCAGGCTCGAATGCCCTAACAAGAGAGGGCTAAGTGCAGGCAAAGGGCAGGCTGCAATGCTGGAACGCTGACAGTGCAGGCAAAGGGCAGGCGGCAATGCTGGAACGCTGACGGCCAGGAGCTTGGTGGAAGCTGCCGCGAGGGATGGTTTGACGCGTTTTAAGAATTTTTAAAGCTTGGCAAACGATGTGCAGGCAAAGGGCAGGCTGCAACCCTGGAGCAGCAAAGGCTGACGGCCAGAGGGCTTGGTGGCAGCTGCCGCGAGGAAGCCATGCAGCAGTTGGAGGATTGTAAGGGTGGTGGCAGGTGGCGCGAGGGATTTGGAGGGTTGTAAGAGTTTGAAACGTTTGAAGCCTGGTAACGGCAAGCTTGAATGCCTCAATAACAGAGGGCTATGACAAAGCAGGTTCCACACCTCCGGTGGAGGGTTTTAGGGGTTTTAGGGGTTTTAAGCGTTTGAAGGCTGGCAAACGGCAGGCTCGAATGCCCTAACAAGAGAAGGGCTATGTGCAGGCAAAGGGCAGGCTGCAATGCTGGAACGCTGACGGTGCAGGCAAAGGGCAGGCTGCAACCCTGGAGCAGCAAAGGCTGACGGCCAGAGGGCTTGGTGGCAGCTGCCGCGAGGAAGCCATGCAGCAGTTGGAGGATTGTAAGGGTGGTGGCAGGTGGCGCGAGGGATTTGGAGGGTTGTAAGAGTTTGAAACGTTTGAAGCCTGGTAACGGCAAGCTTGAATGCCTCAATAACAGAGGGCTATGACAAAGCAGGTTCCACACCTCCGGTGGAGGGTTTTAGGGGTTTTAGGGGTTTTAGGGGTTTTAAGCGTTTGAAGGCTGGCAAACGGCAGGCTCGAATGCCCTAACAAGAGAGGGCTATGTGCAGGCAAAGGGCAGGCTGCAATGCTGGAACGCTGACGGTGCAGGCAAAGGGCAGGCTGCAACCCTGGAGCAGCAAAGGCTGACGGCCAGAGGGCTTGGTGGCAGCTGCCGCGAGGAAGCCATGCAGCAGTTGGAGGAGTGTAAGGGTGGTGGCAGGTGGCGCGAGGGATTTGGAGGGTTGTAAGAGTTTGAAACGTTTGAAGCCTGGTAACGGCAAGCTTGAATGCCTCAATAACAGAGGGCTATGACAAAGCAGGTTCCACACCTCCGGTGGAGGGTTTTAGTGGTTTTAGGGGTTTTAAGCGTTTGAAGGCTGGCAAACGGCAGGCTCGAATGCCCTAACAAGAGAGGGCTATGTGCAGGCAAAGGAGGGTTTTAGGCGTTGTAGGGGTTTGAAGCCTGGCAAACGGCAGGCTCGAATGCCCTAACAAGAGAGGGCTATGTGCAGGCAAAGGGCAGGCTGCAATGCTGGAACGCTGACGGCCAGGAGCTTGGTGGAAGCTGCCGCGAGGGATGTGCAGGCAAAGGGCAGGCTGCAACCCTGGAGCAGCAAAGGCTGCCCGCGCGGAAAAGTTCCACACCTGCGGTGGTCCCAGGCGCCGCCCCGGCCTTGGCGAAGGCCGGGGTCGGCGGATTTCCTATCACCTTGTGTCAACAAATATGCTTACACTTGCAAGGTGGGGCAAGGAAGCTGAGCTCGCCATGAAGTCCTCCACCTTTGTGTGCCTCACCCAAATTTATTGTGTGTTATATTTGGAGCCGTTGCTTTCGATGAGGAAGCTATATCATGAGGACTCTTTGCTCATGTTTGGCTCTATCCTAGGTGCACCAAAGTGGCGACGAATGAAGCCAAGATTCGGTCATCGCCTCAACTTCTGCAGTGCGTAGACCAGAGCATCTTGTCGAACCTCCTTTGAGTGAGCTAACTGGGTAAAGGCATAATTCTGATGGGTTGCAAATGGGGCCACACTTCAATTAGTCGCTCACCTTGCCAGGACAGCGAAAAAGCACTTCAAGAAGGTTGAGAAGGAAGAGATTCACAAAACGGAGTGATGAGCCTACATGTTCAGCTCAGGGGATGCTTTTGATCTACGGATTTTCAAAAGTTTCTGGAAATGTTGGATTGTGTTAAATTGACACAGTCCATAATCCCATGGGTAATTATTTTGGTTTACTTCGGTGCTCTGCAATCCAGCGGAAAGTCAACATAGATGACACGTAGTTTGCACGCAAAATATTCAAATATATTGAACAATAACTCATACATAAATTACCAGGTTCTTTTATCTTTACTGTAGGTGACTCTATGTAGTTTTTATGTTTCTGTTAGTTCTACAATGGACCCAGCTTTGTTGCTTCTGAAGCGCCGTTCGTGGATGACATAGGGTGCTGCTGATGGCTTTGCCATTTCAAGAGTTCAAACTCAGCGACTGGGGGAAAAATGATTGCAAATCTTTGCAGGTTGGATATGGTCGATCCCCCATTTCAAAAACAACACACTTATCTTCTGTATGAGCTGTTGCAATGGTTTGGAAGTCCTCCATGACCCGCTCTATCAACTATCCCTTTCCCAACTTGATCAATATACAACGTCCTGAATCTGAACTGCCAGGTGTTGCCGGTGTGTCGGCAAAGAGGTTGGCAGCAAACATTGGCGAAGGGGCCATGAGCCCAAGACGGATCGGGGCAACTGAATGAGCTAGACAACTCAAGTGTTGCCTTTTGTCGCAGTGCAGTCATGATTGAAACTGATGTGTTAACAGTGAATTTTTGGTTCTGGTATTGTCTAGTGCACCACACTGATCTTGCAAGAACGCACTTGCAAAACTTAAGATTGGTGATTTGCAGAAGTTAGTAAACTCCTAGATTGTAAATTTCAGGGTTGATGAAAAACATATATAATCACGATTGAACGTCGTGCTCAAAAAACATGACCAGGTACCACAATACGCAGTTTTTGAAACATGATTTAAATTCGAGCCACCATGCCATGGACACTTCGGATGACGAGCTCATTGAACTCCTTTCCTGTCACCGATCAGCTCCTCGTCACCAACCAAAAAAATGATGTTTCAGTTTTTGTCACACACAATTGCTTTAGTTTGGGTCATGCTCTGCCCTTTTATTATCTGAGGCTTCCTTGGGACCTTTTCCTTGGGAACGCAAACCTAAGAGGTTGAGGTCCTGTGCCCTTGCAGACCCAAAAAATGTGGAGTTTCAGCATTTACCTCTGGAATCTGATCGCCTGGACAAACCGATTGGCACCAGTGGATTGAATACCCTTTTGGACTATGAGGATCAGTATTTGCGCTATGGTGATCTCAAAAGCCTTCCACGATCCCAGGATGTATTTCGAAAAATCGAAAAGGACCCTATCCTATCCCTGCGACTTCCGAGACCAGATGCAACGGCTGGCAAAGTGCTAGAGCATGCATGCTGCACATTTGAACGCTTGCTCTCTGACAACAAGCCAATGACCTTTAAGTTTGGAATTACACACGATGCTGCTAAACGATGGCACAATTCTGTTTTTGGATACCGGTACTCAAAGGATAAATTCGGCTTTATGATGATTCTCTTCGCGGCATCAAACCCACATGGGCCATCTTTTCTGGAAGCAGCCCTCATCCAACAATACAAGAGTTTCTTGATTGCATGCAATGTTGTCCTGTACTTTACTTCTTCGGCATTGATCCTTTCGATGATGGTTCCTTGTTTCCCTCCTGTTTGCATCAACCTCTGAGGTGTTAAAGGCTGCAAGAATGAGCGAAGTGGAGGGGACACCCTTCAAGCCCTTCAAGATGCAGATAGTGGACCATTCCTCACGTATGTTGTGTACAAGTCATGGAAGCGTCCTAGTATGCAAGTGAAGAGCCCCGGCAGTGCTTTTGCATCAAGCGCCTGAAAGGTGCATGTTCGTTGCTGTGGCTGAGTTTCGCAATTGTTAGGATTGCAGCTGTTTGCATGAAGCGGTCGGTTAAAAAATGATTGGGGTCGCTGGGCTGTGACCAGTGGTGTTGCATTTGTGTTGCAACGTTGTGTGGCTGACAGATGGTCGAGATTGCTTTGATTGACATTCCTAGGAATGAGATCCTTGATTCAGCTTTCTACTCTTAATTTGCTCATTTTCGCACAGACCCCTGTTCCCTTTGATTCCCTGCATACCTCACTTGTCAAAGAATTTTGCTTTTGAATTGGTGGTTATCCTGATGGCCAAGGCCAGCAGCCTCAGCCAAATCCTCACTGCAAAGGCTGTGGCCGAAGACTTTGGAGTGGAACAATGTGCTAAAAATGGCATTTCCTTATGGTCCAAAGCTGATGTAACACACCCTGAACGGGATGCCCACAGAATCATGAAGAAGCAAAAGACAAAACTGGACGTGCCACTGGGTACAATTCAATGCGATGGACATAGTGTTCCCTGGATCTCCCCTGAATCATGGCTAAGATACTTAGTCAACAAAGGCCTTTGGCCACGGCTGGCTGGTTGTGACAGGTTTGATTATGCTGGTGCCCAAGAGAATTGGGCAAATTTCTGGAAGTAATACAGAAAGATCAACCCAGGTTTCGAACTTTTTCACATGGAAGGGGTAGACTTTTCCCGGACTGCTGCATGTTTGATTCACGGTGACGAGGGTCGCACTTTGAAAAAAGGCGGAATGCTTGTCACTTCTCTGCAGAGTGCTATTGGACGTGGCTTTGACCAAAAAAGAGTCAGAGCTAATGATCGAAACAATGGTCAAGCTCGCAAGCTCCAGGTGAATTTTGCTGGGCATAGCTTCACAACAAGGTTTGTGGTCAGCACCATCCCCAAGACTGCCTACGAAGCGCAACCAGAAGTCTTCAATGATGCTATTGACCATGTGGCCAGGTCATGCAATCGCTTGTTTCAAAACGGCTTCTTGGACAGGGCTCGAAACGAGGTCTTCCGGATTTGCATTTTGGGTGTCAAAGGCGATGCTCCATATTTGTCCAAGGTGGCTCACTTCTACAGATCCTACAACACTTTTGCTAAACGTGGAGATGAGAGAGGTCCACCAAAAGGTTGCTGCCCATACTGTCTTGCAGGGACATCCTTGTGCGCTGCTGAGGAGATAGCCACAGCAACACCAAAATGGTTGCCTACTGTTGCTGTGAAGCTGCCATGGACTCGGGAGCCTGCTATCATCAAGCATCTGATGCATGATCGTGGTGATCCGGCTTCGTTCTTCAAATCGGACATCTGGCATGTGTTCCATTTGGGCTTTGGTCGTTCCTGGATTAGCAGTGTTATCCAGTTGCTCCTACCATTTTTGCCTTGTTCGAATTTGGACGAAAAGTGGGACTACCTGACAGACCACTACATGCAATGGTGTCGTGCAAACAACAAGCAGTCCCACGTCAGCCGCATCAGTGCGTACCTCGTGTCGTATGGTGATGCCACAGGAGCCATGGGGAATTGGCATAAAGGAGCTCTAACAACAAATCTGAGCCAATGGCTTGTCGATTTACTGGGTTCAGAAGGTCGTGATCCTGATGGTTTGCTGGTGAAATGCCGGGAAGCCACATTTCGAGTTAATTCATTGTTCAGCACGCTTTACAAAGCCGGCGCATTTCTGGGGGAATCTGAATGTGCGCACGTTGCTGAGCAGGGCTTGCGCTTTCTAGCAGTTTATGCAGAACTTGCGTTGCGAATGTACAGAGCCAATCGGCAGTTTCTGTTTCCGTTGTATCCCAAGCTTCATATTTGGCACCATCTGATTTTAACAGTGAAGCAGTCTGGAGAGCGCAATCAAAGCGCCATCAATCCAGCTATGTACGCCTGCCAGATCGATGAAGACCTGATAGGAAAGGCTTCACGACTGAGCCGAAGGGTAAATATCCGAAAAGTCGCTTCACGGACCTTAGAAAGGTACCTTGCAGCTGCATACGCAGCCTTCTCGAAGGAAGGCTGGCTGTCTTAGAAAAGATGCTGTTCTGCGGCACTGTGGAGGTTGTTGTTTTCTTTCATCACGTGAGTTCTCAAATGAACCCAAGACCTTTTTTTGGAGAAATTCCCAATGATCTTGAATAAGCATCCATGCCGATGCATCTGGTCTCTGGAGGTGCGCAGGGTTTCTTGGATCGTGGTAGGCATTTCCTGGCCTTTGATCTTCTTTTTTTGGGTTCTTTAAAAATAAGGATAAATCATTGATTATGGGGAAAAAAATAGTATACTATTTTTAGAAATAGTTTACTATTTTTAAAGAACCCAAAAAAAAGAAGGTAAAAGGATACGTAGGTATATATATACATATGTGAATGGTATCTGGGGTATTCCATCACTTCAGAGATCTTGTGACTGACTCGTTGCTCAGTCAGGACCCAGTGCATCCACCGGAGCAACGACACCCGCTGTGCAAATCGCGGCACTTTCCCACGACTCTGCCCGGTTAAATCTTTGCAGGGTCGGCTTTGGTGTTGCACCAATGCGGCCGTTCTAGGCGAAGCGCCTTGTTTTTGCTGGAGCTGAGAAATCTTGATAAAATATGGCCACCTTTATCAACCTTTCCAACTTTAACATAAATGATGGTAGTAGATGGTAGTAGTAGATAGGGGAAACGTCCCCAAAAAGCGTATTTTTTTCATTTGGGAAGTACAGCAGTACAGTTAATCCAGCGCCGGGCGATCTCATGTGATGGGCACGGCGCTCTGTCAGATCAGATATACAAAGACTGTGACATCCCAACCCCAAGGGTAACTGGTCGGTGATGGTTTGGTGCCCTCAAATATTGCTTTGTAAATCTTTATCTTTATAATGCATTTGATCCACAATTCGAATGAATACCAAGTAATACCAAGTGTGTGGGTGCCGGATTGTTTAGCCATCACCTGAACTATACTGTACATATATGTACATATAATTGAAAACCATCTTGTTTTGCGCTGATGCTTCGTTGGTATTGGACTCGATGACTTGGACATTTTGGGATTCCAGGATTCCAGGTAGCTCAAAGAGTCAGATATAGGTGGGGAATGATGGGGAGATCGGCTGCGTGGCAAAGCAAAGCTCCCATAGTTGCTAATTCAGACCCTCTGGGGTTGCAACTGTCAAACTTGGGGACCGCCGACCCCAAAATCTTTGCAGGTCTTTGAACGGAAATGACATCAGTTGGAGATCCCCAAGTGTGAAGACCCCTGCTGGTGTCAGCTGCTTTCCGTACCACTTTTGTGGCTGTTGCAAAGATGAACACGTAACGTCAGCCGGTGCTTGGAACCAACGAATGGTCTTAGTTAGGATCCTGGGCAAACTTCTTGCCACAAGTGAGTAAGGAAAGTGGTGCGATGTGTGCGAATTGCTCTGTGGCGGTTCGCAAAAGCGAAGGTGCCACAAGTGATGCTCCGTGCGTGGGACTCACGCCGAAATACTGCATCTGCATCTATTTCCTGGGCAAATTTGCCAGCAGCTCCCATGTCTAGCTCCATAATATATATATATATACATATACACACATGCACGTATGTTTAAACACATGTGCTGATTAAGTGCGAATACTGCTATTGTTACTAATGGTTGTTAATACATACACATGTGTATATGGCCCAGTGTCTGGTGGTACCCCCCTTCGCTCCGAGACGGTGATGGTCCCTATATGTATCTATATATATATACATATGTAAGTAGTATCTATACATATATATATAACATGTGTGTATACCTATGTAGTATGTGTATGTGTAAATTTATACAGTATGTATATGTATGTGATATGCATATGTCTATGCATCCCACCCCCCTGTGGATGTGGTGGGCGTGGGGAGGTGTGGGGGTAACGCCCCGTACCATATTGAGGGGGGGCCGTGAAAACGAGATATATATATATATAGCAGGAATAGTCCTTGAGGCCAGCCTTACGTTTAGCTTGGCGGCTTGGCGAAACGTAACTTGTAGTTCAGCCAGTCAGTACCTGCACATAAGTCCTTGAATATTTAATGGCATCTCTTGAAGTCATTGCAAGGATGTCATTTTTGAGATCCAACCTGCCTCGTCCGTTAGACATGTACATATAATATATAATTATATATATATATAAAAGTGTTGTGACAAATGATTGCATGTACATATGTATCTTCCCCGCGTTGGATGAAGGACAAGATGCAGGAACCTTCTATATTTCACTTTTCAGCACATTCCTGGTTTCCTGTAGATGTTCCCTTAAACCACTCCAGTGACCAGTGACATGTTTATACTAAAATGCTTGGCTAGAAGGGCTCAGACATCCCAAACTTTGCCACGTTTCTCAGAAGAAATGCCATAGAAAACAGGAGGCACGATTTGTGTTCGGTTGCTGCAAAACTTAACAACTATGCTTTTGGTCTGTTTGTAGATGGATGGAATGTTGATCATGTTGTGATGATGACCCTCATCACTCGAGCCATCAAGCAGGATGTCTTTCCTATTTTTCGGATAAACATGGCTGATGTTGAAGGCTGAGGACCCGAAAGAAAAACGCACAAATCAACATTTAATCTACACCCTACAGCCCATGGCCAAGGATATGTTGGCTGCATGTTTTCCATTGTTTTCCTTTTTACCTGAGGGCGTATCTAGGAGATAAGATGTATATATGGACGCGTGAAACATTGTTTTGGTAGACTTTGTATACCCAACAACCAGGAAAACAAAAACTGAAACGAGAAACCCGCTGGTTGATAGGAACTGGGACGGCGTCCCAGTGTTTGTCAACGATTAACAATATGAGCGGTCATGAATAAACTGGTTGGTGGTTTGGAACATGAATTTTATGTTTCCATTCAGTTGGGAATGTCATAATCCCAACTGACGAACTCATATTTTTCAGAGGGGTAGGTATACCACCAACCAGATAGATTTCATTTGGGCTGACAGAGTTATTCGTGTTTTTCGATTTTTTCCAGCCCTTAGCACCCAAAAATTATCCAACATGCTCAACTCTCTCACCACCTCAAATTACTTTTTTGGGGAATGATCCCCACCAACTGACATTCTACCTGACATATATTCCGACATTCTATCTGACATTAAGTAATTACTCAGACATTCTGCATTCTATCTGGCATTCTATCTGACATGTATTCTAACATTCTTTCTGGCATCTTTTCTGGCATTCTTTGTGGCAGCTATTCTGACTTTCTTTCTGATATGTGTTCGGGTCCGTGCATGCCCGGCCGGATCCGAAGCTCGCGATGATTTTCTGGAGCGAGAGTGCTCCATTAGCGCTTGCTGTGACATCCAGGCCCGTTGGTGCTCACAGTGACGACAAGCTGGCAGAAGGAGGAGGACGCGGAGGAAAAGGAGGAGTGAAGGAAAGAAGGAAGAAGGGAGGGACGGAGGGAGGAAGTGTGTCACACCTTTGGCAAAATCTAGAGACCCTCACTTGGCAGGTCGGGAAAAACAACAATTTATGAATCACCAGAAATTCTAGGACTGCTTAGGGTAACCAAAATGTGCTGAGGACTTCAATATCTTGTGGTCCTGGCCCCGCCATCGTCCAACAAAAAAAAAATGGTTCGGAAATAAATGTTGTTTTCTTTGGTCGACAGGATTCACAACTTTGGTCCTACGGATGGTCAGGAGACAGGGCAACATTGAGATATTGCGGATCCATTGAACAAAATATGTTCCACGATCATATGTTTAACGCTTTGGATAGAATTGCAAACCTCTGAGATCCCTCTAAAAAGATGCTATATTGTCTTGGCTGGAATATGCTGGAATCTTCGGATTTTTTTTTTGATCAAAAATTGGGTGCGCCTTGGGTTGGTAGTTGGTAGGCTACTGGATCACTGCTCGTCAAATTATATACATGGAAGAAAACCATGTTTCGAACAAGTCTTGTTTTGTGAGGCCAAACTACGTCCAGTAGCTATTGTAGCTTGTTGCTGTGGCCCAATGGTGGTAGCCTAACCACCAAATTTGGATTTCTCTTTTGGTAATTGCCACAATTTTGAGCCATACAGTATCCATATTGTCAGCCGTTCACAGGGTTTGACCATAGATGCCACAAAAGTTACCGCCGCGGAGCATCGGTTTGCGATATGCTGCACGAATGATCTTGTGCGAGAGTGGCGAAGAACACAAGAACATATTCTTCTCATGTTGATTTTGGTTGACATATAGGAGGGGGGGTCCTAAAATAGGGGGCCACCCCCAATCATCCAAAATTCATCAACATTCAACTATTTTAGTATTGAAACCTATGGTTTTGGATATAATTTATAATACTCTCATTTTAGGATAGCCATAAATTAGATTCAATTCCAGTGTTGAAACACTTTGGCGGATTGAACAACTCAGAGGTTTTTGCCCCAAGGCCCTCCTGCGGACCATTCTCAGCGCTGGATCTGTTTCACTGGACAGGTAAAGGAAGCCTCCAGGTCTCTGAAGAGACATGGATGTATTGATAGCAGTGGGGTCAGGCCTGATTGTAGTTGCTCACCATGAGTTTCCCACCTGTAGCAGTGTGTTGCTGATGTTTTTTCCAGCCTGGATAAGTTGCCCAAGCGGGATCACAGCATCAAGCTGTGGAGCATTGTGACTCAACCTTTCAGCGAGACTTTTCTTTGCCTTTTCAGCTGTTTTTCAATTAGCGGTTCAGTGGGTTTTTAGGACTTTCAAAACAGTGCTGGACTTGTTTTCTTGAATTGTTCAACATTCACTTCATGGGCGAGACTTTGGAAGTCGATCATTGTTTCCAGACAGCTGATGCAGAAACGATCAGAACATGTTATATGGGATTGTATGGAGATCCCAACCCTGATTGGAGTTTGTAGTCGAGTTGCAAGCCCTTTAACTAATTCAATGGTGACTTACGTGCTTGAGCTATGCTGTTTCTAGACGGTGCAAGCAAGCTGATATATATAATATAATATAATATAATATATAATATAATATAATATAATATATAATATAATATAATATATAATATAATATATAATATAATAT